ACGTATATCACGTATCACAAAAATCTCACACACTCCCATTTGACATACCCGCAGACAAATGGCTAAAGCATTGGGAATTAATAATTCGTGCTTCTCTAATATTATGGGATGAAGCACCAATGATGCATAAGCATTGTTTCGAAGCTGTACAGACATTGCTGCAGGGTATTATGGAAGCAATTGATCATTTGAACTTGAACAAACCGTTTGGTGGGAAGCCGGTTGTTTTTTATGGAGATTTTCGACAAATCCTTCCTATCATTCCAAAGGGTAGCCGTCAGGACATAGTCAATGCTGCCATTAATGCTTCTGACATATGGAGAAGTTGTATTGTGCTTAGGCTTACAAAAAACATGCGCCTTCAGGGACTTGCTAATTCGGATGAACGTGGTGAGCTTGCACGGTTTGCAGATTGGATAGCCAACATCGTAGATGGAACTATCGGGGGGTCGATTGATGGATGTGCACCTATAGACATACCCGAGGACATTTTGCTTCAGCCATCTGATGATCCTATTGCTCAGATCGTTGAAAGCACGTATCCAATGTATAAAGAGGCACCCGACGATCCAAGTTATTTGAAGGATAGGGCTATATTAGCGCCGACGTTGGATGTGGTCGAGTCTATCAATGAGTACATGACATCATTGAATTTGTTGGATGGTCGTATGTACTTGAGCTCTGACAGTACGTGCAAATCGGATTCTAATAATGATTTTTTGTTTGATCTCCATAGGCCTGAGTTTTTGAATAGTATCAAGTGTTCCGAAATACCGAACCATGAGTTGTATTTGAAGATTGGAACTCCAGTCATATTGTTGCGGAACATGGATCATTCTATGGGTTTGTGTAATGAGACACGATTGGTTGTGACAAAGCCATTCACTCACGTTCTTGCGTGTAAGATACTCACAGGAGATCATGCTGGTGATAAGGTGTTGATTCCAAGAATGGCCATAACTCCTTCTGATGTTAGAATTCATTTCAAGTTCCAGCGGCGACAGTTTCCCATTATGGTTTCTTACGCCATGACTATAAACAAGAGCCAGAGACAATCCTTATCTCATGTTGGCTTATTTCTTAAGAAACCAGCCGACTTTTTTTCTATGCATAGAACTTCGACTAGCTTGAACGAGGAACCAGTGTTCAGTTATGCCCAATTATATGTTGTTGTCTCCCGTGTTACTAACCGAAAAGGTTTGGAAATCTTAATTTGTGGCGAAGATGACGTGCCAAAGAATCAAACCAATAATGTTGTATATAGGGAAGTGTTCAATAATATATGATCTTTTCAGTTTAATTATATGTTTATATGTCTATTTTTAATATCATGATTATTGCATTATTACACAATTTATATACAAAATTGTCTTCTAAAAAGCGTATAGATAATAATTTCTCAGTGCATCGCACGGGTGATTACTAGTCATCTATATCTATATCTATATCTATATATATATATATATATATATATATATATATATAAAGAGGTTGTTGGAAAAATACATTAATAGAAAGTTTGACCAAATAAATATAATGCTTGACTTACTATTAATTGAAAGTTCGAAAAAACAGATGTGAATCTATAGTAACAAAATCTGAATCCTATTTTTTTGGCAACAAATTTAGAGATTCTTATGGCAAAATTTGAATTCCATTTTTTTCGTATCATATTTTTTTTTTTTACCAAAATTTAAATCATATCTTTTTTGGTAACAAATTTGGAGATTCTTATGCAAAACATGTGTCAATTATTTATGAAAACAAATCTAAATACAAATGAATTTAAAAACCTTGCAATTTGGATACAAATTTAAGAAACAAATAGTTGTATAATTCTTAACAAATTCTTCCAATCTTATTGAATATTTTTTTTCTTTCAAAAAAAGTGTGTAAATTGGATAAAACCACGTGCAATTTTTATTTTAAAATAAAACTGATATTTGGACGAGATGTAAATTCAAAATTGTGTTCACACTTTTTAGTAACAAAAGTGGTTCATATTTGATATTTATAGTCACCTTATCCAATTTTAAAGGCATCGATTTTTTTGAATTCTTATGTTTTTTCTTAACCATGTTTTACTGAGATTTTGGTAAGTTCATATCATTTTCTTTAGGAAAGAGACAGTTGCATAAACATTAACAAATTATTTCAATTTTTTATTAGAATTATTTTCAATTCAATTTGTTTGGTAAAAAAATTGGTGCAATGTTAGGAAATTTCGGTTGCATTTTTAGGAAAAATTGATGATTTTTTTATTTGGTTTAAAAAAAATATTCGGATCAATTAGTTTGATAAAAAAATCAGTTTATTGGTAGAAAAATCGGTTTCATTTTCAGGAGTAACTAATGATGTTTTCAATTTTTCTCAATTGAAATTTAGAATTAGATTTAAAATAAATAATGGGTGAAAATCCCTAAAAGTTTCTACTTTTTTCTACTATAACTAGTACGTTACCCGTGCGATGCACGTGAGCATTTATTACTTACTAGTATTTGACTCTGTGCATTTGCACAAATGTAAATAAAATTAAATATTATAAGTTATATTTATGTATATAATATAAAAATTATAAGTTATATAATTGTATTATATTTCAAACATATAGTATTATAAGTTATATTTATGTATATAATATTAAAATTATAAATTATATAATAGTATTATATTTTAAAATTTGATCATTAGTTAAAATAAATAGTACACACAATTTGATTGTATACGAATCACTATATTGATTGCATAAAATGTAATAAATATATAATTTTTATAATTTGAGTGATCATGACCAATTAATTAGCTGAAAAATATTACATTTATTATAACAATTACTTATGTGATTTAAGAAATTTTACTATGACATAAAAAAAATTAATTTATTAATAAACAACCGCTTCATCATATAAAAAAAATAATGATTTTAGTGTAAAATATAATTTTATGTAACTTTCATATATTATTTAGTATAAAATATAACTACTAATTTTAATATTAAATATTATATTACTCAATAAAAAATATAATTATTAATCAATTAACATAAAATATAATAGTTTTTGTCTTAATTAACCTAAAAAAATGTAATAAAATATTTTCTTATTAATGAGATTGGTGTATTAATGCCACATAAATAAAATTTATTAGGTTCTATATATTAGGTTTTATTAATGATTTGCCACATAGGTAAAATTTATTAGGTTTTATTTATTAGGTAAAATTTATTGCTTAGCTAGCAATTATATATATATAGATTTATTTTTTAAAAAATATTTATGTATTTAAATTGTCTCATGCCATTAAAAATTTCATGAAATTTATATGTTATTAAACACTCCTTATGTACAACATTATTGATTTGATTCTTTGGCACGTAAAGTACTACACATGTGTTCGAATTTATCCAAAATTGCATATTATTAGTTATTAGTTAACAATTTTTTTTTTTAAAAAAAGATCTTATTTATTAAACAAAATAAAAATAGAAAAAAAAGTAGAACTTTTTAGGGATTTTCACCCATTATTTATTTTAAATCTAATTCTAAATTTCAACTAAGAAAAATTGAAAACAATCATTAGTTACTCCTAGAAATGAAACCGATTTTTCTACCAATAAACCGATTTTTTTATCAAACAAATTGATCTGAATTTTTTTTTAAACCAAATAAAAAAATCATCAATTTTTCCTGAAAATGCAACCGAATTTTTCTAACATTGCACCGATTTTTGTACCAAACAAATTGTATTGAAAATAATTATAATAAAAAATTAAAATAAATTGTTAATATTTATGCAACTGTCTCTTTCCTAAAGAAAATGATATGAACTTAACCAATAAAAAAAAATTGATATGAACTTACCAAAATCTCGGTAAAACATATTTAAGAAAAAACATAAGAATCCAAAAAATTGCTGCATTTAAATTTTAAAAAGTTGCACACAATGTTTCCTAAATAATTGGATAAGGGGACTTTAAATATCAATGATGAACCGGTTTTGTTACCAAAAAATGTGGACACAATTTTGAATATACATCCCATCTAAATATCAGTTTTATTTTAAAATAAAAATTGCACGTGGCTTTATCCAATTTACACACTTTTTTTGAAAGAAAAAATTATTCAATAAGATTGGAAGAATTGGTTAAGAATTATACAATTATTTACTTTCTAAATTTGTATCCAATTTGCACGGTTTTTAAATTAATTTTTATTTAGAATTGTTTTTATAAACAATTGACACATTTTTTGCATAAGAATCTCCAAATTTGTTACAAAAAAATATATGATTTAAATTTTGGTAAAAAATTAAAATATGATACGAAAAACATGGGATTCAAATTTTGTCATAAGAATCTCCAAATTTGTTATAAAAAAAGTAGGATTTAGATTTTGTTACTACATATTCACATGTGTTTTTTTGAACTTTCTATTAATAGTAAGTCAAACATTATATTTATTTGGTCAAACTTTCTATTAATGAATTTTTCCAACAACCTCTTTATATATATAGATATAGGTATTGGTTTTGTTTAATAAATCAGATCCTTTAATTTTTTTAAAATTTGTTAACTAATAACAAATAATAATAAATTTTAGATAAAATTCGAACATCTATGTAGCATTTTACATGATAAGGAATCAAATCAATACTGTTGTATATAAGAAAGTGTTTAATAACATATAAATTTATTTTCATGATATTTTTAATGTACAATTTAAATACAAAACACCTTTTAAAAAATAAATAGGTAATAAATGCTCGGCCATCGCACTAGTTTATTTATAAGAATAAAAGGACTTATAATAGACCCCAACAAATTTTCCGTCTTCTTCCTAGTTCCTATCGATATGTTTGCACCCGGCGGTTGAAAGCCGGTTGCCTAATTCATCCGCCGCCGGCCATTCACCCCACCACCGCCGCCCCTCTAAATTTTCCCACCTCTTCAAACTCCTAACGAAAACCCAAAACCCACCAATTTTTTTTTTCTTGTGTATTTTATGGCCGCGGCGCCGGACGGCGTCTCAATCCGAGTGCACCCGCGGCGGGGCAGCAACGTGATCCACCCCGTGTCTCTGGAAGCTCCGACGCCTCCCGCCGCGTCTCAGAACGCCGTCGTTTACCGGGAGGTGAAGCATTTCAAGAAATGGTTCCCGTGGCTGATACCTTTCTTCGTGGCGGCTAATGTCGTGATGTTTGTTATTACAATGTATGTGAACAATTGTCCTAAAAATTCTGTGTCCTGCGTTGCTGCTGGGTTTTTGGGGAGGCTTTCGTTACAACCGTTTAAGGAGAATCCCCTTCTCGGGCCTTCTTCCACAGCGTAAGCGCCTTCTTATTTTTTTTGTTTTATTTTTCATTTTTTTGTTGTATAGTTGGCACCTTTTTCTGTTTTATATGCTTTTTTGGAAGCTTGAACATTGCTGTATGCCCTTGAGTTGTTGCATTTGTAAATTTATTGTAGAGGTTTGTTAAATTTGTTGGATTATTGAAATGGAGAGTTATGTTTGGTTCAGAAATATGGTTAATTTGCATTGAGTTTGTTCTGATTGCTTAATTCAAGATTTTGATAAGCTCAAAGAAAGAATGTCTTTTGTCAATGTATGCCTGTTCTTCACCACCTAGAGGATGTTAGTTGATGATACTAAATTCTAGAAAGCTCCCAATACATCTTCGCTGAAATTTGGTATTTACATCCATATTTTGATTTATAAGAACATCTTATAGGAAGCTCCAAGTACATCATCAATGAAATTCGATACTTAGTTATTTACAGCCATGTGTTGGTTTATAAGAATGTCTAATAGGAAGCTCCGAGTACATCGTCATTGAAATTTGATATTTACCTCCATTTGTTGATTTATAATAGGAATTCAACTCATTCTGAGTAGCTTCTTCATCTAAAGTTCACTCTTTTATAACAATAATCATTGTTTGAACTCAGTAATTGCATATTTTCATTAGTCAAATCATTCTATCTGTTTCATCCATCAATCAGCCATTTAACTTTTATTTTTAGTCTAGAAAAGATGGGTGCTTTAGACGTGGGTAGAGTTGTGCACGAGCATGAAATTTGGCGCTTGATCACCTGCATATGGTTGCACGGTGGAGTTTTCCACCTACTTGCCAACATGCTGAGCCTCTTAATCATCGGCATTCGACTTGAGCAGGAATTCGGATTCCGTACGTGATTTTTGTTTTTGTTAATTATTTTTCCACTTGTATTTTACCAAATTTGTAATAATGGCAAATTGGCAACTCATAATATCTACCCAAAAACGATGCCTTTTTTTTTTTTTTAACAGTGCGCATTGGTTTTCTTTACCTCTTGTCGGGATTTGGTGGGAGTTTGATGTCTGCTCTGTTTATCCAGTCGAACATATCGGTCGGTGCTTCGGGTGCACTTTTCGGCCTGTTGGGAGGAATGCTTTCGGAGCTTATCACTAATTGGTCGATATATGCTAACAAGGTACTAGTCGCCTAGTCGAGTCGATTTTATAGATAATTTTCTCATGTTAAGGCTGTGTATGGTAAACATATAAGCTATAGCTTATAGTTTATATGATTAGCTTATAAGCTTTCTATATTCAAATAAGTTTGGATTTTAGCAAACACTTTTATCATATAAACTAGTTTTTCAGACATAAGTCATAAGCTATCACTATAAGCTCGAAATTCACATAAAAGGTATAAGCTAGCTTATCAGCTAGGTTTACCAATCATAGCCTAATTATGATCTTCTTGGCATGGAATTGTCGTTAATATCCCTTTCTTTTGCCAGGTGGCGGCCTTATTGACACTAGTGACGATTATCGTGATCAACCTTGCGGTGGGAATTCTCCCTCACGTGGACAATTTCGCCCACATTGGAGGGTTCTTGTCGGGCTTTCTTCTGGGCTTTGTTTTCTTGATTCGCCCGCATTTTGGTTGGGTTAGCCAGAGATATAATAGCCCAAAATTCAAGGCGTACCAACGCATACTTTGGATGCTTTCGTTCATCCTTCTGGTAATCGGGTATATATACCTCAATCACTTCGTTATTACTATGGTTATGTTTGGTAAACTTAGCCGATAATAAGCTAGTTTTTAGCTATGAAGTGAATTTCGAGCTTATATAGTATAGCTGAAAAGTTACCTTATATTATAAAAGTGTTTGGTAAAATTAGTTGAAATAAAAATTTCAATGAGTTTATTTAAAAAACTACCAAAGAAGCTTATGAGATAAGCGGGAGCTTTTTAAAAAAGTTCGTCTTACTAAACTAAACTTATTTGAATATAGAAAGCTTATAAGTTAATCAAATAAGTTATAACCTAGCTTATATGCTTACCAAACACAGTCTAAGTATTAGATAAAGCAAGTGGACTTTATGTTTGGGACACCCTAAAAATGAAAATTTGAATTGTACATTATTTCATGTTTGACTATGTAACGTTGTTGGCTCAATATCGAGCTCAAATAGGTTAATCGGAGGTATGGTTTTGCTTCTTCATGGGGAGGACCTAAACGAGCACTGTTCGTGGTGCCATTACCTTAGCTGTGTCCCGACTTCCATGTGGAAATGCAATACACAGCCCGTCTCGTGTCAGGTCACCAAAAAAAAAAAAAAAATACTAAAAGATTGTTTTTTTCTCGTTTGTCGAATTTCTCAATAAAATGCGCATAACTTATTAACTTGTTCTGTTTGCAATCGTGTTTCTACTTTGCAGGTTGAGCAAATGCGGAATCAGTACACTCTAACGTGCTCGAATGGCGGAAAAAACGGTACATTTTCGCTCGTTAGCCCAACTCCTGAGCAGATACAAGAATTGTGTCTTCAGCTTTGTGGATAGACTATAGTTAGTTTTGTTGATTTTTTTTTCCTTTTTAAAATTAGTAACTATATAGAAGATGTGATATAAACTGTAAAGGGATTGGGTTAAGGGATTTATTTGTTAATATTATTCTTATAAATTTATTTCTGCTTATTATTATT